GGGGGGCCCCCCGGGGCTGGCAGGCCGCCTGCCACACGGCAGCCAGGCACGCAGGAAGTGGCCCTCAGAGCCCACCCCGGCCACGCGATCACCAGGGTGGAAAGAGGGGGCATCTCACCCCCTGCTCCAGAGGACGACCCCTTGGGGCCTCACAGACAGTAGCCAGCCGGGAGGGGTCAGCCCTGTGCCCACAGCACCTGTGTCCAGGGCCAGCCGGGCGGGGTCGGGAGGAGGAGGGGGAAGGGAGGGGGAGCAGGGGAGGGCCCTGACCGCTCAACACCAGGCTCCTGGCCTCCAGCCCCTCACCCTCTACCTCAGTGGGTGCCTGGTGCCCTCCCCTTCACCCCTTCTCTCCCTGTAACCCTCCCGAACTGGCAGGGGCCACAGTCTGGGGCCGGGCACCTCCGCCGGCCCCTTCCCCATGGGGCTGTTCCCACAGCAAAGAGCCGGCCTACTAAGCCCTGAGCTAGATGCCATTGGGGGAGGGCAGCATGGCCAGGCTTGGTCCCCACTGACGGGCCACAGTGGCTTCTGCTGCAGCCCAGGGCCCCTCCCAAGTCACGAGAGCACGCCTCCTCCAGGGAGACCATCGGGCCTCCCAGCCCGCTCAGGTGTGGCTGCAGACGGTCCAAGGCCCCGGGTCACAGGGTCCTGCCCATGGGGGAGCCGGGCCCTGGGGACCTGACGGAGCCTCGGCTCTCATGGGGGTGGGGCTAGAAGAACCGTGGCCCCTCGGCCTCCCACAGGCCGCTGGAGGAGCCCTATAACAGCGCTGTCCCCGAGCCAGGCCCCGCCCGCCTCTCAGCCAGGGCAGGGACCCGGCCCTGGCCCAGACCTGGGCGGACCCAGCAGGGTGGGGCCCAGCGGGGCCAGGAGCTGGGCAGGAGGGGCGCCGGGCCCAGGGAGCTCACCCAGGCAGGTCCTGCCGTCCACGTGGAGCCGGAAGCCGGGTTTGCACTCGCACAGGTAGGAGCCGGGCGTGTTCACACACCTGTGGTGGCAGCCGCCGTTGTGTAGCTGGCACTCATCCACATCTGGGGCACAATGGGTCGAGGGTTAACAGCCAGTACCCACCTGGCTGCCCCCCGCTCTCTGCACGCCCCTCACTGAGGGCACCGCCCAGGCCCCAGACCCTCCGTCTCCAGCCACGCCTGCAGCCCCCCCTCACCGGCTCTGGCCAGGCAGAGAGAAGAGAAGGTGGGCCTGTCCCCCATGCCTGGCTGGAGGAGCGGCACCCCGACCTGCGGGGTCAGCTGGAACACGGGGAGCAGAGGTTGGGCCAAGGCAGAGGCTGAAGAGGGAGCAGCCGGGTGGAGAGCCCCTCCCCAGGACTGGGGGCCCAGGCT